AATAATATAAGAACTATAATTAATGCATTAGAATATTATGAATTACACCCGGGGAAACCGATGACGCTAATTCTTTTAGATGCAGAGAAGGCCTTTGATAACATCAACTGGGCATATATGTTACAAAAAAATTCAATTTGCGAATGCGGGAACAACTTTTTTACAATGATAAAATCTATATATATACTACCCAATATGCTAAAATTTTAGTTAATGGAAAACCCACCCAAAGCATTCAAATACAGAAGGGTACCAGGCAAGGGTGCCCATTATCTCCCCTACTATTTATATTTACTATAGAATCGTTAGCTGAAAGGATAAGAAATAATGATCAGGTAAAAGGACTGAGAGTAAAGGGCAAAGTGTTCAAGCTGCAAGCTTTTGCAGACGATTTGATCTTTATAATAGAAGAACCAGAATGCTCTCTAATTCCCTTAATAGATGATATCCAGGAATTTGGGAATTTAGCTGGATTTAGAATTAACTTTCAAAAAATGAAAATTATAACTAGAAACTGCTCTCAAAGATTAATACAAAAGATAAAAGAAATTTCTAAAATGGAAGTAGTCCAGAAGGTGAAATACCTAGGAATATGGATCACTAATAAATCAGCGATGTTATATGAAAATAATTATTTACAACTTTTAAAAGAAATAAGAGGAGACCTAAATCGTTGGGATAAAGTGCACCTTTCTTTACTGGGTAGAATAGCAACAGTTAAAATGAACATTCTACCTAGATTCCTGTTCCTTGCACAAAATTTACAATAATTAAAAAATATCAATACTTTAAAGACTTAGAAAAAATTGTAGGTAAATTTATATGGCAATTGAAAAAAACAAGGATAAAAATTAAAGATCTTCAGGGGAATAAAAATAACGGAGGCTTTGCACTTCCCAATTGGCAATTATACTATTTTGCAGCTTCTATGACATGGATTAAGGAATGAGCAACATTAGAGGACAAGAGAACACTAGCTTTAGAAGGATTTGATTTAGCTATGGGGTGGCATGCATACTTATGGTACAGGAAAGATAAAATCCATTCCAACTTCCACACCCAAATAATTAGAAGCACTCTTATCAGAGTCTGGAACTTAGTAAAAGAGAAAAACTATACGAAAATACCAATCTGGATATCGCTGATAGAGGCATTTGCCAAACCTTCATTATTAATAAGGGAAGGTAGAAAAACATATGGGAACTTATTAAATAATAAAATGGAATTGAACTCAGATGAAATATTATTAAAACATAACATAAAACTATCCTGGTGGGGAAAAAAATGTACTAAAATCAAGATATAATGAAGATAAAAAACCAGGATTTTACAATGGTCCTAATGAAATAGATAAAATTTGACTCTCCTCAAGTGATAAATTAATTCAGAAATGGTATAAAAAACTATTAGAGGAGCAGTTACAAGAGGAGACCACGAAAACATCAAGGGATTTGAAGGGAAATCCCATTTTTGCACACCATGTGCTCCAAGTCACAAAGCAACTCTTTGTCTTTCAAGAGGCAGCATTTCAGGTGCAATAAACCAGACAATGACAAGAGGAGGAAGGGAGAGCAAAAAGCAAGAGAACTCACTCCCCTAGGGATCAAACAATTATACCCCAATTCCAGTCACAAATCAGCCAATTGCAAGTGGGCATGGGTGTGCCCAATTATTGGTTGCCATAGCTGCGTGTGGGGATAGGCTATAAGTTTGGGACTTATCTGACCCCAAACTCCAGCTACTTCATGGTCTACGTGACTAGTCGCATGTGGGCCAGAAAGTGGAGCCATGAGGTCTGGCGTTTGGCATTAAAGTGTGAAAGAATGTGGGTTTATGGCATGGCTATTGAGGCCATGTGGCCTCACCAATTGGCTTGCAACAGGAAACAAGACATAGCATGTTATCAAAAGACATTACAGGAGAAGGCATGTGAATATAGAAGCAATATTTCTATACAGGGACATGATTGCAGTCTTCAAATATCTGAAGGGCTGTCATGTAGAAGATGGAGCAGATCTATTCTCTCTTGCTCCGGATTGCAAGACTAGATCTAATGGGTGGAAATTACAAGAGAGTCGTTACCGGCTAAATATCAGGAGAAACTTCCTAACTGTCAGAGTGGTTGAGCAGTGGAACAGACTGCCTCGGCAGGTGGTGAATGCTCCTTCGCTGGACGTTTTCAAGCAGAGGCTGGACGACCAACTTTCAGGTATGTTGGATGTATGTAGGGCTCTCTTTCAGCTATGCTCCTGCAGAGTGCAGGGGGTTGGACTAGATGACCTGCAAGGTCCCTTCCAACTCTAAGATTCTATATGATATTTGATACATTCATACATTCAATATGGTCCACACGGGACTTCTTAAACAGCTCAAATACATGAGAATACAGCCAAGCCCTCTTCCTGTAGAGCCAAGGACTTCTCATGGCTAATGTATGGCAGCCTTGGAAGGGGGAGTCTATGGCATTATTCCCAACTGTTCCAGTTCCGCAGGGCCTGCGAGACGGAGCTCTTCCTCCAGGCTTTCAGCTAGGGTGCCGCCGCCACTATAGAGCTCCGGCCCTGGGTCCTTGACACCTAGCCTTGGTTTTTGACCTCTAGCCTGCGCTGTAGGAAGATCTCGAGCAGAAGGAAGTCCAAGCTTTGTAAGTACTCTCCGAAAGTCAGCCATCTTGAATAACTAACGAACAACCTTCAGCACTTTATGAAACTGTATTAGTTATAGTGGTATTGTTTTAGACGATTTTACGTTGTTTTTAATTGTATTTATGAATTGACCGAGAGCCGCCCTAAGCCTGCATTGTGGGGAGGGCAGGGTACAAATAGCCCCTCCCTCCCCATCCCCCCCAATCCAGGTATTTCCCACCCCAAAGTTGGCAACTCGGCGCCATTTGTACCCAACCTCTGTCCCCAATGGGGAACCCAAAGCAGTTTACATCATTCTCCTCCCCTCTGTTCTTTCCTCACAACAGCCCTGTGAGGCAGGTGAGGCTGAGAGAGAGTGTGGCTGGCCCCAGGTCACCCAGAGAGCTTCCACAGCTGAGTGGGGAAGCAAACCCGGGTTCCCCACATTCTAGCCCCTCACTCTAGCTCCAGCACCACACTGGGTCCAGCCCAGAGGCTCAGAGCCGGTCTCAGCGGCGTCACCAGAAAGGCTACAGCTCTGTCTGGGTGGCCCGAAAAGGAAGATGTAAAAGAAATGCAAAACGGGATCCCCCCCTCGAGGGTCTGATTTTCTCTGGAATAAAAGTTCTGCTCCGGTACAATCAGTGCCTCGACCGGCACCCTGCTGCCTAAAATCTATAAATTAAGTAAAATATATAAATGAAAATAAATTATTTCCCATCACGGTTTGCCCTCGGTGGCCTTCCAGAGCCGCAAATCATCTGCCGCTGACTCCGCTCCGAAGCTGTGCTGTTGACAGCTAATCACAGCCCAGATTTTCAGCCTCTGGTTTTTATTCGCCCCAATGACAGCACACATTCACCCAGTGCCTCGTCAGCTGCACTGGCTCCAGGTCGAGTACCGGATCCGCTTCAAGGTTTTGGTTCTAACCTTCAAGGCCCTAAACGGTCTGGAACCGACATACCTCTCCCGGTATGTACCCCAAAGAGCCTTGCGCTCACAAGATCACAACTCGTTGGCCCAAAAGATGTCCAGCCGTCTTCAACCAGAGTTCCTCCTGCCTGGTGGAACTCTCTACCTAGTAACATCTGCTCCCTGCAGGGCCCTAGTACAGTTCCACAGGGCATACGAGATGTTCCTCTGGGCTCATGGTTGAAGACATGGAGGGAGGGAGAGTTTATTTATTTATTTATTTATTTTTGAGATTTATATCCCGCCCCATCCAGTATTCAGCTCGGGGCGGCTAACAGGCGGCAATGCCGAGGTTAAAATATACATATAACAACATAGTAAAAACAGATATCTATCATAAAATTGGTGCTGTCATAGATTACATACAATTTACATCCAAGACGGACGACATCCCAAAACTGACGGCCAAGTTATTTCCTGCAGAAGCGCCAGGAAGAGTGTATCCCCAGCTCTGTTTGGGCAACATCTGCCTCTACTATGTGGGGCAGATGGTTGTAAAATCATTGGTGGTATAATGGCGGCGGCGGCTCCCCCTCAAAGGCCTGGCGGAAGAGCTCCGTCTTGCAGGCCCTGCGGAACTGCACTAGGTCCCGCAGGGCCCGAGTATCTTCCGGGAGCTCATTCCACCAGGTGGGAGCCGCCACCGAGAACGCCCTAGCCCTAGTTTGGGCCAACTTTGCTTCCCGGGGGCCTGGAATTTCCAGGTGATACCATCAACAATCTAAATTGTATGTTAATGCAGACACTGCAGACTTGGCCGACCTGAAAAATCAGCAGTGGCTGAACACAGCCTAACTCAAACAGGACACAGTATTTTGTTCCAAGACCCTGAAAGGCTGGACAACACATCCAGTTACCATGTCTGATTACACAGGGAAGCCATTGAAATTCATAAACATAAACACAATTTCAACAGGAAAGAAGAGAGTTTAAAAATAAACAGGGCATGATTTCCAGTCCTGAAAAACACAAAATGCTCTACATCTTACAACAGCACTACAGATAAGATTAGAATTTCAACAGCCAATCCATAGGCAAAAGAACCTCTTCAGGAAAGCTCCTCCATTAGCATGTTCACAGCCTGGGGAACTCCTACAAGATAATGACTCAGCCCTACCCCACCTTCCTGAGTAGATATAAATTACCCATCTACCATTTTCCTTCTCACCTTGACACAGAGAGTACTCCATCTTCCTGTGTTATACCTCTGAGGATGCCAGTCACAGCTGCTGGCAAAACGTCAGGTTTACAATGCCAAGACCACGGCCATACAGCCCGGAAAATCCACAATATTTAAAAAATACACTTCCACGGGGTAAGGAAACCTCTTGGCAACTCAGAGAACATCAGGAAGATGGCCACGCACAGAGCAGTCCTCAAAACAAAGGCAGTTGGTACTCTTACCCACTGTAGCTTCTCAAGTCCTTCTCCATCTTCACAATGTCACGCATCTTATAGATGAACCATTTGTCGATGAACGTCAGCTTATGGATATCCTCCACAGGGACACTGTCGTGCAAGGCCTGCCGAAAAGAGAGGCTGATCAGTGACTGCCATCTTCTTGACTTTGTTTCTAGGGCATGTTCCATGTGCGTGACGCTCCCTACACCCCCAGGAAGGCTTGTCAACCTCCGAGTGAGACTTGGAGAGCTCATGGAGTTACAACAGAACTCCAAACTACAGGGATCGGTTCCCCTGGAGAAAATGGCTGCTCTGGAGGCTGATAATTATAGCATCCCTGCTGTGGTCTTTCCCTTCCCAGTTTCCCCACAAATCTCAAGGAATTTCCCAACGTGGACCTGGCAATCTTACCCCCCCCCCGGACTAACAATCTACAATCTAATTTAATGGAAGTGGCGTCAAGAGGAGAGAAGACATTTCAGCAAAAAAAAAGGGGGGGTGAGATTTGTGAAATGCCAGAGCCTCCAAAGAGGACCTTGAAGGATGCGAGGAACCTCACTGATAAAGATCAAGATTTATCCTAGTTCAAGATCACCACTTTGGGGTCAGGAAGCCATTTTTCTCCAGGCCACTTTGACCAGGGATCCTGGAGGTTTTTTGTCATGTTCAAGGCATGGAGCAAGGGTCACTGCAGGTGTGGAGGGGGAGGTATTTGTGAATTTCCTGCCTTGTGCAGGGGGTCTGACAAGATGACCTTGGAGATCCTTTCCAACTCTATGATTCTATCTAATGAGTTGAACAGACATAGTGATTAGGGATGGGCACGAACCGTTTCACGAACCATAATTCAGCATGAACTGGGCCTCGTTCAGAGCCCCCAAACCAATGTTCGGGGAAGGCACCTTTCCTGAACATTTCACCTTCCTCGAACATTTACCAGACTTTTGTCCAGTTCAGCTGTTTGGGCCATTTAAGCCTAACAGCTGAGCAGCATGGGTCTGCCGCTGACCTATTAAGTTTAAATGGCTGCACGTCATTTCACCGGTTGGCTTCGCTCCCCGCAACTTGCAAGCTTTCCTGCGTCCTTTTCGTCACTCCAAAACATTGACATGGGGCTGCTTCTTCAGTGAGGGAAGCGGAGCCGGGGAATCGAGTATTTAAGTCAGGGTGTCGAACTCATTTGTTATGAGGGCCGGATCTGACATAAATGAGACCAGTGTTCCCTCTAAGCTGAGTTAGTGTGAGCTAGCTCACAGTTGTTTAGCCTCCGGCTCACACATTTTTGTCTTCATTCAGGAAGGATGGCTCCAGAGCAAACTGATTTGTGCAGCCAAATCGCTAGCTCACAACTTGAATGCCACTACCTCACAAAGTAGAATTTTTGCTCACGAGACTCCATAGCTTAGAGGGAACATTGAATGCGACCTTGTTGGGCCGGGCCTGGTGTGTCATAAAATGTAATGCCAGGTAGCAGGGATATAAACATTAGAACGGACACAAACACAAAGATTTTTTTAACTTAAAATAGAAACATGCTTAAAATATGAGCACTCTTGCGATAGTTTGTTTATGTAACAGTATCTGATAATTGACACCTCTTGCTCTGAATTATTGCATCACAATGTCTGTCCTTTTGCAATGTTGAGGATGCTGTTCAAGTTTTTATCCGTAAACTGCAAACTTACTTTTGATTTATCGACATTCACCACAGAAATCTCAGGCTCAGAGTCCTGAGTCTAGGACCCAGGGGAAAACACGAAATGGCTGAGCGATTAAGAGAGTCTGGCGGAGCAAGCTATGATGCAACAGCAGCAGCAAAACTGGAAGCAGGAGATGGCCAGTTCCACTGCGGGCCTGAGGGAAGCCCTCCGGGGGCGTGATCTGGCCCCCGGCCTGCATGTTTGACATCCCTGATTTAAGTGTTTCTCCTCCCCACATAAGATCACAAACCCCACCCCCCTGCATGGTCTCCGAGGTGCTGCTGGACTCGAATCTGGCTCTCCTACTGCCGACCAACACAGCTACCCATGTTTTTCATGCCACAGGGCAAACAGCTGCTTTGGGGTGAGGCGACTGGGATTGGGGAGATGGTACAGAAGGGAAGGAGGAGGAGGAGGAGGAGGAGGAGGAGGAGGAGGAGGAGGAGGAGGGTGGATTTATACCCCATGGCCCTTCACCACCTGA